CCAATGGCATCTTGAGATACAGGTCAGGATATAGCTTTAGTATAAGAAACTCTTTCTCCTCAAAGTGAGGGCACAACCTGCTGTCTTTACTGAAAATTTAGCCCAGTAAAGGTCTGGGTTTTATCTTGAACCACAAAAAGAATTACATGCAGAGCTAGAAAAAACACTAAGAGAATTCCCCTGTAGCCAAGTACAGACCATAAATGGTCATCTGGCAAAGTTAAGAAGAACCAGAAATCTAGAGAGTTGAAGTCATGGGTCTGAGTTACTGTTAATACCTCAAGAACTAACATAGTGGATCTTAAAAAACATATAACCAGGCAGGTGGAAAACAGAGGTGCTCTCCTATTTGGTGGAACGCTCAAGCCTTAAACAGGGGGGCCTCCTACAACAAAGGGCTCTGACAGAAAAGTTAGATTCAGATTGTGGTGTTGCGACATATATTTATGTATTGGTTTCATCCAGGGTTCCTGGCTCATAACCTCCATAGCTCTTGTTATGGTCTTTCCTTACAATGTTGGGTATGTGGGCCTCAGAAACAGAATCTCTCTGACCTCCTCCTCCCCCACTTCCATTAGCCCCAAGGAAGGACTCTAATCTTCCCCTGCCTTCTGAATGTGGGTCTTAGGGCCCTCCCCAGAGAGGGTCCTGTACTATACACTGGGGGAAGACAGTCCAACCTTGTCTTCTTGGGGTTATTTAAAAAAAAAACAAAAAAACCCAGGAAGACAAGTTTGGAGAGCTTTCAGAAAGTTGAACACCTGGAGGTTTCTGTAGGGTTGTCCCCAGGGAGGGCATAGAAGCTCTGCACACCTTCCTCAAACCTCGCCCTCCGCATTTCTTCATCAGTATCCTTTGCAATATCCTTTATAATAAACTGGCAAATGTGTGTCCCTGAGTTCTGGGAGCTGCTCCAGCAAATCAGTTGAACCTAGAGGGGGTCACGGGAACCCCAACTGGAAGTTGGCCAGTCAGATGTTCCAGAGAGTTAGACTTGTGATTGGTATCTGGGGCAGGGGGTGGGAAGTCTTGCGATTGAGCCCTCACCCTGTGGAATTGGACACTATCTCTAGGTAGACAGTGTTGGAACTGAATTGAAAGACACCCAGCTGGTGTCCACTGCCTGGTGTGTGGGGAAAACTCCCCACGTTTGGTCACAGAAGTCTTCTGTGTTGATGATTATTGCTGTGGTGGTGTGAGAATAAAGGAAAAATATGGTCTGGAAGTTTGCCTAAAGCACAGATCTGTGTCTATCTCAAAGATGTGACAGAAGGCACTGGGCACATACACATACATGTCTCCTCAGCTGAAATGTGGGTACCATGAAGCCAGGGCAAGATGCGATGTGCCTCCACTTTTCAAACTTGGAGCCCGGTGCCTAGCAATCAATAAGCACCCTGTCACCAGGCATTTGCAGAATAAACAAACACATTAGGTCAACACTCTGCCCTACCAATAAGTTTCATCTACTCAGTGTGTGTACCTAGGTATAGGTGCACACTTCATGGAAATAAAATACTCAAAGTAAATTCAAAACAGGAAGCCAGTATAGTGTACTAGTCGACAGTACTGGTTCAGATCCCAACCTACTGGCAAACAGCTGGGTGATTGTGGGCAAATTGCCAAATCTCTTTGTGCCTTTGTTTCTTATCTACAAAATGGAAATTTCAATAGTATCCATGCCCACAGAGTTCCTGGAAGAAATAACAGTGATTTCGTGTATAGAGTACTTTGTACAGTGCCTGTAATAGAAAGCATTAACTCCCCAAATGTTTAGTTACTCTTATCAACAGCTTTAAATATGTGTCCAGGCCAGGTACAGTGGCTCACACCTGCAATCCCAGCAATCTGGGAGGCTAAGGTGGGAAGAGGGCTTGATTCCAGGAGTTCAAGACCAGCCTGAGTAACATACTACAAGATATTAGCCAGGAGTCGTGGATTACCCAGTCTACTTGGGAGGCTAAGGCAGGAGGATCACTTGAGCCTAGGAGTGTGAGGCTGTGGTGAGCCATGATTATGCCACTGTACTCCAGGCTGGGTGAGAGAGTGAGACCCTGACTCAAAATAACTAACTAACTAACCAACCTACCAATCAACCAAACAACTAATTAAGTAACTAACTAAATAAATGAATATCCAGCTGAGTGAATCAAGTATATGAGATGAGTACTTCTTCCATACTCATACACACACAGTATCTACCTTTTTTTTTTTTTTTTTTGAGTCAGAGCCTCACTCTGTGTCCCAAGCTAGAATACGGTGGCATGATCACAGCTACCGCAGCCTCAAACTACTGGCTTCAGATCATCCTTCCACATCAGCCTTCCAAGTAGCTGGGACTACAGGCACATGCCATCATACCCAGCTGACTTTTTTTATTTATTGTAGAGACAAGGTCTTACCATGTTGCCCAGGCTGATCTCAAACTTCTGGGCTCAGGCAATCCTCTTGTCTCCATCTCCCCTGTGGGGTGGAGATTACAGTTAGAGTTCTGGGATTACAGGTGTGATCCACTGCGCCTGGCCTATATCTACTTGTTTTAAGATGAGCCGAAATTTTAAAAAATCTCACCAAATGTTTCTTTATGTTCATAAGCGCATCCCTTAAAATATGACCAGTAGAGAAAATATGAAAAAGAACATTCATCCTCACTAACACAAAAATGAGAATTAAAACAAGATGTTTTTTTCATCTATCAAATTAGCAAGATTTTAGAATGATGTGAGGTGAAAGACAGGTGTTCTCATCCGTAATAGTAGTTGATACAATGTTTCTGGAAAACATTTTGGCAGTATGTATCTAAAGTCTTAAAATATCTCTGCCATTTCCAGGCTTCCATATCTTTAGCAGAGTTATTTTCATAGTATCAAAAAAATTTGGAAACATTCTTAAAATCCATCAAGACGAGCGTTAAGTAAATTATAGTGCATCTACAAAAGTAGAACACAGGCAGCTATAACAGGATTTCTGAAGACATGGGGGAAATCAGAATGTACAAGTATATATGCTGCAAGCGTCCATTTATGGTTTTCATTTGGAAAGAAGATAACAAAAATGAATAGAGAAAGATAGAGAGGGAAAGAGGAAATTCACTAGAATACACCAATAGTTTAATTCTTGCTTTTGGGACTCCAGATGTTTTTGTTTCTTCTCTATAACTTTCCTGTATTCTATAAAGTTTGCTACAGTAATATGTATTACTTCATAAAGTCAGAAATAAGTTGTAAAGCTCATTTTGTAAAAAGTTGGCTATGAGTGAATAGATTCCCTCCTGGTGTATTCCACCAAAGATAATGTCACTAATGATAATGCCACGATCAGCAAAGTCTACCCATCCAAACTCAACAAATCACACTAATATGAAATAATTTCACAGTCTTAAAAAAAATGGCTGTTTCCTGCCCAAATCCTATGACTCAGCTCTTAACGCCTGAGACTGCCAACATGGTTAAAAGCCTTCCCTAATATCAGTGATGACAGAATAGGTCTTGATGGTATATCAGTCCTTTTCTTGATATAAAAGGTTTACTGAAATGCTAAGAAAATTTCCAAAAGAGGTCTAGACAATATCCTGATAGTTAGAGCTGTGAAATTTCTTGACAGTTGCCACTGTCAGTCCTTTTTTCTCCCTGTCTTCCTTTTAGACAAAAGTTGAGAACATCTCTGAAATCACAAGCATTTCCAGAGTGCCACACATCGAGAAAAGCTCTTAAAACACATAATCAGTCATCTCCCTTCCATTTTTATATTATCACTATGGAGACACACAGCTTAAGCTTCTGAGCAAAAGTCATGAAATATACAACAGGCCGATCCACTGCAATATTTGATAACTTTCACTTTTTCAAAGGTTGCATAATTAAATTAGCATTATTTATTCCTGGCCTGTATACATGTTTACTGATCTTCAGGGTGCTGCAGGGAAAGTAGGAATTATTATTACATTGAAAAGTTTTTAAAGTTTAGATTGTCACCACAGAACCTTATTAATTTAGTAAATCTCCCTTATTGAAATATGAAAATATGATTGTATAAACATCGACCAGAAGACATATTACCTATTGACCCAATAATGACAATTCTATACTGTTGATGCTAAATCTGATGCAGCATCAGGATTTGTCCTTAGAAGTCTGGCCACATGATTATCACAGGAAAGGAAGGGCAAAGAACACAACTCTCCTGTGCTGTCTCTATAGAAGCTGAAGAACTGCAGTGAGGATGACAAAACATGGCTCCAAGGAGGCTTTACCAGAAATGAACCCATGCACAAACAGAAGGTCAAACTGGGACCAGGCACAGTGGCTCATGCCTGTAATCCCAGCACTTTGGGAGGTTGAGGTGGGAGGACTGCTTGAGCCCAGGAATTCAAGTCCAGCCTGGGCAGGTGGCAAGACCCCATCTCTATAAAAATTAAAAAAAAATTAGCCAGGAGAGGTGGCTTGCACCAGTAGTCCCAGCAATTTGGTAGGTTGAGGTGAGAGGATCACTTGAGCCCAAGAGTTCAAGACCAACATAGCAAGACCTTGTCTCAAGATAGGTAGAAAGGGAGGAGGGAGGGAAGTCAAACTGGGAAAATAAAGAGAGGGGAATCTAAATACACAAAGAATAACATTTTATCTTAATACTAATGTAGTCTGTCAGCATCTGTTCACCAAATTAAATGTTATGTGTGTAAATGTTTTCAGTATTAAAATGCCATATGATTTTGAGGCATTTGCCTATTACTGTTTGTCCCAGTATTCATTCTTGAGAGATTAAAAAATGACAACAACAAATAAAAACCACTTTCTTAGGAATTAAAAGTGAACTGTTGCACAATATGGGTGGCAATATTTACTTCAAGGAGATGTGTAATATTCAAAGTGCATATATTTACTTATCACAATAACAGTCTTCCTAATACAACTTAGTTAAATAAAATATTTCGCCAATAATGCCTCCTGGAAATAACAATTTCATCACTGAAATGTAAATGAAAAATAGAAATAAATACTTACTCTTAATACCAAACTGTCCCCAAAACAGGAGAATAGCAAAAATTGGGAAAATAACAATGAGAATGTTTTCATTTGGAGAAAACCATGACACTGGGGAGAAAGAAAACAAAAATCACAATTAATATTTACTATAATCACTTTAAGTTCTGCAAATGGTCTCTAATATATGCTTTATTATGGAGGTTGAAAATAAAAACAATTAAAGCTGTGGCCTTGACATTTATATGTATATACAGGTATACATAAACCAAATGACACACACACAATTGACTTACATACAAATTTTATTTATGAAACAAACCATGACATTTACTTAAGTGTTTCCCACCACATTTGTCCTCATCTATGTTTTAACAGAAAGAGTAGTACAGTACAGTGGCTGAGAGCATATCTCTGTAACCACTCTTCCTGGGTTTGAGCCCAGCTCTAATTCAACAATCTGTGTAACCCTGACTCTGTTCTTCAGTGTCCTCAATTGGGTGGAGTATAACACAGAACCTGTATCTTGAAGGGTTGTTGTCACTACTAACAAAGTTAATAAAGTATATGCCAAGGGCTTAAAACAAGGCTCAGTACCTGCCACATACTCAGCAAATATTAACTACAATAATTATTACATGCTTGTGTGATGGATGCCTATATGTGCTAAGTACCAAGAGTTTACCTTCAAGCAATGTTGAAGTGTTCCTATGAAGACTGACTCAGCAAGTTGCATCCCTAGAAACCCTCCTCTTACTGTGACTGAGACAGAAAGATAAGCCCTGCCTTTTCTCAAACTTATTCTGCCACAGAAGGCTAATTTGTGAATAATTAGGCTTCAGAAGGATTGTTTACATGTAAAGTGATGTGAGTGGCTTCAGGTTATTAAGGAAGCTGTTATTAAGTAGGTCACATGTTATTTGTACTGTAAAAATATAACCACATGTCCTATATTAAGGAAATTAAGATATTAAGACTTCAAATAAGATTTGTTGAGACCTTTTAAAAAATTAAGTTTAATTGCATCTTATAAACCCTTATGACCATAATTTTAGCTATGAAATTTCTTCTCTAACAACAAAGTCATGTGAATGTACTGAGAGCACTCCCAAGTTTTCCCTACAGGGGCTGTGCCACTGGACAAGCATTTGTGAGTACTCTTTTAAACCAGTGCTTAGAAATCACCAGCTTTCCCTGAAATCCTATCCTGCTCTGCTCCTTAGGATCAGTGGGTGAGGAACTTGGCGGCCTTCCACTGCATAATGATAGCTATGTATTTCTTGTGTTAAGCCTATAATGTTGAATCTTTGTAAAATGCTTACGGTGCCACCAGAATATAACAGCATTATCAACTCTATCAGAGATATTCCCTTTTTACTAGCATCTTGCCCTGCACGTAGTAGAGATGCAACACGTTTGTGGTTGAAGGTTACAATATAAGCCATAAGCCATAAGCAAGTGAATGGAAGACAATTCTTTTCATGCTCCTGTGGTTGCAGATCTTGGCCAAGAGATAGATATTTTTGGATACTCTGGATCAACACCTCAATTTTCAACTGTATAACTGAATATCCTTCTACTTTCTACACCAAAGAAAACCCATTTCAGTACAACCTAAAATGCCACCAGGAAAAAAAAATTTGTGACTTACGTGTAGGTTTTCATATCTAATGCCCAAAGGATTTGGTAAAAGCTCTATGATCTAATAACTATACTTAATCAATTTATGTTTCCTTACCTACTTCCTCTATTGTTTTGTTTTTAATTGTGTACATTAACTCTCAAGTCTTCAATTATCATATAAGGAATTATCAGACCCTCCTTATGGTTGAGGAATGTGAAGCACAATGTATTCAGGCTCTTAAGCATCTCAAATCTTCATGTCCTAAACTAAGTCTTGATATTCTCCCACCCCACTGCCCACCAATCCTCTCCTTTCAGTTTTCTTCTGTTAAGACTGGACATGATCTTGCCCCAGCAGACTCTTCCCATCTGATTTCACAACACTAAATACCAGTCCCGGTAGTGGTGACTCCATTTCTCCAGTTGCTCATGGACAAAAATCTTGGAGTTATACTGACTCCTTGGTTTCTCCTACATCCCACACCTACTCAGACAGGAAATCCCACCAGCTCTACCTTAAAAATATAGCTAGTATCCAACTTCATGTTCAAAATGAGCTGACAATGAAATGTTCCTTCACTGGCCTCTCCCTCTGTACAATAAGCAGTCTTAGAATGCATAAATAGAAATTTGTTAATAAGAGTAAGAGGTGCATTCGACCTTGATCTGATCATTCACTTTTCATTTATTCCACAAACACTCATTGAAAGCCCACCAGGGGGAGGGATTCCTCTAGGCTCTTGGAGGCCAGTAGGGAACAAGGCAGGGGGCCCTGAGCGTGAAGAGGGCAGGAGTTGAGGAACAGACTCTCAGAGCTGGAAGGAAAAGCTGGAGAGAAAGAGCAGCACTGAGCCTTGGATGGGAAGGGCCTGCCAGGTGAAGACAGGGATGAAGAAATGCCAAAGGAATGGAGAGTTCAATAAACCAAATGATGGCCACTGGGACTGGTATTTAGTGTTGTGAAATCAGATGGGAAGAGTCTGCTGGGGCAAGATCATGTCCAGTCTTAACAGCTTGTGAAGAGAGTTTGGGTTTTATTGTAAGAGTAATGACAAGTGGTTGGAAGGCTGCAAATAGGGAAGAAACATGACCTGACTTATTTAAAACTTTCTTTGGCAACCACGTGGAGAATGGATTACAGAGAAGCAGGGTGGGTCAGAAAGTTTCAGTGGCAATGGTGACTTGGGAGGTAAAAGGGTGTGGCCAACAAACGCAGCACTGAGTCCAGTCTTACTCACCATATTTAAACATGGATCAGAGGTTTCTCCAAAAGAGGATAACTAGAATGGGGATTGAGACATGGCTAAAAAAGCTGGGGATTTTTTATCCTAGGGAAGAAGAAACTTGAGAGAAATACTACAACCCTCCCAGTGAGTGAGAAATTACAAGGCAGCAAGTTTTAGCTTTACTTAAGGAAGAACCGAAAGTGCCTGGTAATAGATCAAGATCCTTTGGGAAGCAATAATGTCTCATCATGTCAAGCATTCAGGTAAAACGTCTGAATGTCCAACTACCTGGGACGCGAGAGAAGTAATCTGTGAATTAGATGATGATATAGACTAGATGACTGCTTGATGACGCCAAGGTTCTATGCAGAATAAAAAAAAAAAAATAAGAGAAATTTCAATGACACAGAGAGAGTGGGATTATAGAGCAAAAAATATTGTCTAAGTGATTCTTAACCAGAGTTTATCAGAATCACCTGGGGGTTTACTCAAGTTTCACACACTCTCCCTTCTTACAACTACTGTGAAGATTCTAAATTGTTCCCTGGTGTGCGTGTGCGTGTGCGTGTGCGTGTGCGTGTGCGTGTGCGTGTGTGTGTTGAGGGTAGATGGAGGGGCAGGGAGGGGGATGACTGTGATTCTCTCAGTTTAAAATTGCTGCTGCAGATTTCTTCTGGAGTTTAACTCCAGTCACTGATGTGAGCGTGTTTCCCTTCTCTGTAATCTGTTACACTGAGAAAAGTTTGAGGATCAGTGAATTGGACATTTAAAAACCAGTTGATGCTGGGGGAAAAAATAACCCCAATATTTTATATAAAACCACCGATATATACCCATTAAGCTATCGATTTGTTATGGTAATATCATCAGATGATGTTAACGCTTGTTCCCCAAGGAGAGAGTGAGACATGATACTTCTCTAAGAAGTATCTTTCAGTTCTGAATGTCTACGGCACTAAGAGAATAAATTAAGCTTAAAATGGACTAAGAACAATAGCAGGTATTTTTCCATCATGAGATGGAGAGAGGCAACCCAAGGGCATTCACATGCTTATTCTGCCTTAGCTATGGTGGACAGCTCTGTTCACCACTCTCCTCCTACTCCTGATCAGACAGAGTGGCTCCCAGGAAAACAAACTTCTCATCAGTGGAAAGACAAATTAATAGCACTAAGAAGGCGTGGTCTGCAAACGAGTGTTTAAATTTTGCTTCCAAGCTTAAGTGTTCTTAAAACTCAGCACTCATTTCTCTTATCACTATGTACAAAAATAGGACAACCTGAAAAAGCGAGAACACCGCTGTGGTCAGTGTGTCTCTCCTTCAAACTTCCACAAGCACAGAGAATCTCCAGTTTCCACCGGAAGAAAAAAAATCACAAAAATCAAGACCAAACTTTTACTTGAAGTTTCAAGATTGTGATGGCTTTTTTGATGTGTTGACTTAAGGAATATTAATAACAAATTATTTGGCTATTATTATTTACATTTAGTACTCAGTTATTTGCAAGTGTTTTCACGGGTACTATAAATGATAGTGGCAAAAATATTGGGTTTTGAAGCCAGAGAGATCTTTACTAAAATTCTGGCTATTACTTTCACCTTGAACAAGTACCTTGAATCTCTTTTGCTTCACCATTTGTTAAGTGGGAAGACCTCAGCAATCTCCTACAGTTCTTGAGAAGATAACAGGACACAACACATATGAAGCATCTGGCACACGCTCAAACAAACATTAGGTCATTTTACTTTTCTTATTTGTATTGTGATCACTTCCTTCAAACTAGGAATGATATCATAGGCATCACTAAGTCCACAGTGCCTAGCACAATACCTGATGCACAATAGGCACTTAATAAATCTATGTAAAGTAAGAAAAATATTACCTTATCTATATCACAAACATTTCTGTGATGGAGATGATATCCCCACTGTACTGAGGGGATAAAAATCTGAGGGCCAGATAGGTAGAGCTTCTTATCCAAGTTTTCTTAAGCTGGAAAATGTTGAAGTATCGAAAAAAGCAGCTTTCTAAATTCAAGCCTTTTATTCCTTTCACAGTACTATGCTATACATAGGCACCAGAGAGATATAAAACTGTATCCAACAGTGGTTCTATGTATTCAGTCCCAGTACTCAAAAAAAGAGGGAGGGGCATGAAAAAATGTGCCATTACCTGCATTCTATTAAGTGGAATTCAATTCTTTCTTGAGCAAGTTCTGCTTCTCGTTTATACTTATACTTGAGAAAAAAAAAAAAAAAAGACACAACATAGCAAAGACAGTTTCTAATACCTAAGTCCTCAAAGTCCACATGAAGGGTAAATATCCTTATTACAACAAATTTGTATACCACAGTGAGAGTTCTGCCCATTAAACCTTTTTGTGTAGAGACTTTTTTTTTCAGTCAAAAATGAATACAAAATAGTGGCATCAGATGCTGGTGAGGATATAAAGAAACTAGATCACTTTTACATTGTTGATGGGAATATAAAACTAAACAGTCACAGGTTTTGCAGTTTCTTTAAAGACTGGTTGAACTGGGTGGCTCAGCTTGTAGTTCCAGCACTTTGGGAGGCCAAGGTGAGTGGATTGCCTGAGCTCGTGGGTTCAAGATCAGTCCAGGCAACTTGGCAAGACCTCATCTCTATAATAAATTAAAAATTAGCCAGGACTGGTAGCGTGCACTTGTAGTTCTGGCTACGTGGAAGGCTGAGGCAGAAGGATCGCCAGAGCCCAGCAGGCTGATGCTGGGGTGGCCGTGAGTGTGCCACTGCGCTCCAGCCTGGGTGACAGAGTGAGACTCCAACTCAAAAAACAAAAAATTTTAAAAAATTAAAAAAAAAAAAAAACTAAGCACACACAGGCAACCCAGTGTTTGTACCGCTGAGAGTATTCACAGAGAAATTAAATGCCTACACAAGAACCTGTATACAATTGTTTGTAGCAGCTTCATTTGTAGTAGCACCAAACTGCAAACAACCATAATGTCGCATGATGGGTGAATGGTTAAACACACTGGCATACACCCATTCCCGTACCATGGAATACTACTCAGCAATGTAAAAAAAAGAAAGAAAGAGAGGAAAAAAGAACTACTGATACATACACCACCTTGGATAGCTCTCAAGGGCATTGTGCTAAGTGAAAAAGCCAATCGCAAAAGGTCACAGAGTGTATGACTCCATTTATATAGCACTGTCAAAATGACAAAATTACAGATATGGGGCCAAATTAGTGCTTGCCAGATTAGGGATAGTGGGAGATGTGGTGTGACTGCAAGGGATTAGCATAAGAGAGACATTTGTGTTTATGGAATAGCTCTACATCCTGATTGTGGTGGTAGTTACACAAATACACACATGATAAAATGGCAGAATCACGCACACCGCACCACTGTGAACTTCTTGGCTTTGGCACTGTGTTATAGCTGCATAATATGTAACCATTAGGTAGGGGTAGGAGACTGAGTAAAGGGCACAAAGTACTTCTCTATCTTTGAATCTTCTTGTGAATCAATAATTATTTCAAAAAATAAAAATGGGTACAAAAGCCAAATGTAGCAAACCTCTGGTAGAATTTTCCACATTCACTATAATAAAATAATACTATCTAATTTTACTGGCCCCAGAGTAAGCCCGCTTCTTGTTCTTACACGTTATTTTGAAAACAAAGAAGGATTAAAAACAATCACATGCAAAATTATAAACTCTGTCTTCATCTCAGATACTGGTATTGCTTTCCCATCCATCTTCATTTCCTCTTCTGACCTTTCAAATTTCCTTTCCTGAGTTTACCAGTTTACTTGTTGGTGACCCAGGCATCCCCCAAAATTACTGTTCCTCCATGTCTTAGTCTCTCACTCCCATGAAACTGTAAATTAACTCAGAAAAATGTCAACTAGGCATCAGATGATCTAATTCATCACTCATAGCATATGATGGATTAGAGTCATACAGAAAGGTATACATTAAGAAAGAAAGGAAAAACAAAAAAGCTCCCTAGCTGAAATTAATATCAATAGTAGAAATTATAACGTCAGAGAGATTCTGAGCAGAAAAATCTTCCAAATTCTCCTTGCCGACTCTGAGTCATCCCCTGCCCATAATTCACTGCACACAAATCCCTCTCACAACATTCCAGGTATCAGCAACTCAATACCTTACTTCATAAAATACACATTCCAGAAAAACAACCAATGTTTGCAACACACCTTGGTTTACAAAGAACTCGTCCACATGGGATCTCATCTGATGTTTATTAGACTGTAAAACACATAAAAGCAAGTTATCTACTTTCCCCGCCATTCTAGAGATGAAGTAACTTGGACTCAGTGAAGTAACTTTTCAATATCACATAGGTGAAGAATAGGTTGCTGAGTAGGGGATATAATCACATATCCAAATCCAAAACAATGTCAAAATATTTCGCAGACCAAACACCCTATTTCCAGTTTGCTGACCGATGTCTTATAACAGCAAAAGCTAGGGTAACAGTTGATCCAATTAAATGGCTCTAATCCTTTCTAGAGCAGAAGTTCTCAAAATGTGGTTAATCCCCAAATCAGTAATATGACAGGTGATTCTAAATAGAGATTTCAAGACAGAAATTCAGAAAATTCCCGTATAAGGTTGAAGAAATCAGCTGGCACAGCATGAAAGAAGAAAGACGGCTATTTTTACCTCAGTAACTTGGCTACTTTGTTCAACTCACCAGCCCAAGTTTGTGAAGAAAGGGCAGAATCATGGTGCTACAACCAAGCCTGAATTCAAATAAATTAATTTGGATTCCTAGCTCCCCCACATCTTGGCCAAGGAAAAGAATACCAAAGCAAGGCTAAGCACAGAAAACCTCAAGAAATAATGCATGATAACCTGATTTAACCTCCCGATTCTCCTCCTAGTCTATTGTCCCAGAGAGAGGATGGCTGGGACTTGGCAATCCTTGTTCAAAGTGTGCAAGGTTACAAAAAAAAAAAAGTGTGTGCGTGTGTGTGTGCGTGGGGGGGGGGGTAGTCTGAATTTAACCACATGAAAGGAAGAACTTCTGATGGTTGCAAAGAGAAATGCAGAGTAGATGGCCCCAGGACCAATCATCCAAACAGGACTGTCCTCAGACCAAAAGTCTGAGAACCACACAACATATAATTAATAAACAGAAAATGCCTTTTACTGCAAAAAGTAGAAAAGCAAATAAGAGAACTCGTGATCTTAACGCTGCTGAGCATTGCATCAACATTTATTACAAAAGCCTGCTTTTTTGATTCAAAGGAGTATCTAGCCCCATTTTGCCCTCTTTCTAATAGGATCAGGTTGTAGAAGGACACACGAAAAGAACGCTTTTATAGAAGTCTTACCAACACGATATTTTAGTTCTACGATTGTTTCGCCTTCTCTGCTTAATTCTGTTACTTCACAAGTGTAGTTTCCTAAAATGGCTTCATCCTTATCCATCTTCAAAGAGGAATCTCCTTTTAGTAATTCTGAGATTTCGACTCTTGCACTCTTAAATTCAGGGTCATTCTTGGTCACGTTCATATTTCCATCAAAGACATAAATGTCTTTTCCTCTAAACTTCCACTTTACATATAATTCGTTAGTGTGTGGTGCCTCCACATTAGTAACAAAGCATGGAATGACAACGGTTTCATTGCAAAAGGTGTATTCCACAGATTTTGTTTTATTAAACAGTAGTTGAGCTGAACCTGGAAAAGAAAAAGAAAAATATTTCATTTAATTACAGAAATCTATATTACAAGATCTTAGTAAGTTAGAGATTCTTAAAATAAAGAACAATGTTTTAATTGTTCACTTAAGTAAACAGTGTAACAATGGAAAAGACCCATTAAGTAAAAAATAGAAACAAAGTATATTTTAATATCAACTTGCACAGCTGGTAGACAACACTGTAACTTTTCTTTACTCAATCTTAGTAATACAAAGTAGACATTATCATGCATCTTGGGAATAAATCCAGCAACTGTGTAGAAATATGCAGGTGTAGTATCTGGCCTTGGAAGCTTTGAAGTAATCATTATTGCCTGTTGATATATGTAGAAAAATGTTGTCCTGATCATGGTAAATTTTTGAACAGAAAATCAAACCAAATATTATCTTCAATCCCAACTTCAATATGCTTCTTCTAAATAGAACTTGCTAAACTGATATGAAATTTATCTCTATCCTTATGCTACATTTCCAAAAAAAAAAAAAAGTGGCAGTTTTTACTGTACTTTAATATACAAAGCAAATCGGATGAATCAAATCACATCTTTCCACTAGGATGGAAGTCTTAGAATACTAACAAGTAAAAACATTCTCTGTGGCTATTTTCTCATTGCAAAATTTAGACAGCAATAAACATTTTGTATGCTAGTCTTACAAAGGATTATATACAATTGAATAGCATTTTCCCGCCCCCACGTTTCATTGACACTACAGAGCAACTATCTCCAAATGTATATTACAGTTATTCCTTCCTTCAAAAAAACCACTCGAGGAGCTAAGAAACAAGTTGAAACTAAAAGCAGATACTGCTAATAAGTAGGATATATCCTATCAATTCTTCTCAATAGGCTAAACTACCAGTTGTTGCCTTATAAAAGAGGAACTGGGTAAACAAATGCAATCACTCACTATTCAACTATAATATACAAAAGTGTGGAAAAATTGTAGTTGCCTTCTATATTTTTCGGTCAGTTAGCAACTCTTTTTATACAAGTAGCTAGATGGTTTCACACACACACACACACACACACACACACACACACACACAAATATAAATAAAATATCAACTTTGTTAACAGTTCATGCTTAAGATTTCTCCCTCCTATGTAAACTGAAATAAAAACCAGAGGCAGAGAGTGCTACTATTCTAAGAACACTACTATTACTCAATAATGCCCAGTGAATTGAATGCCAGGATGCACAGTGAAATATGAACTGGACAAAGGTCCAAAGACCTGAGTACAAATCCTACCCCTGCCACTTCTTAATATGCCACTTTACACAACTCACTTTTTTCATGCCTTGATTTACTCTCTCTGTAACTAAGAGGATACACAACAAGTACTAGACTAATACACGTAATTGTGGTGAGAAAATGTAATTGTGGTGAGAAATTGTATAGGCAAGTGCTCTCTAAACAATACTGTGCTGTAAAAATGTATACTGACATAAAACTAGATAAGCTGACATTTTAATAAAATGATATAGACCTTCTCTGACTAGTTCAGATGGTTACATTTCTGTAAATTTGCAGTCTGAACCAAACTTGTGGTGTCCACAGCTCACCTCTTCCCGGGTCTCTACCTTTCTAGCCACCCAAATATTAGGAAGCCCCAGGCAAAACCTGGACTTCTATTGCATTCTTTAAAACCATGGAGAGTGAATTATTTTTTTCCCTGAGAAAGAAGCATGGAGCAGGAGGGACTATAGTTATAAGAAAAAATAAAGGGGTGACTATGTTAGAATTACAAAGGAAGGCAAGTGTCAGAAAATATGGCAGACGATGTTGAAGTGGACATAAAGATGACCCAGTGTCCTTTCAATGGAGTCTGGGCATTGTTTAACAGGTCCTGTGGAATGGTCTGGTTTTCTAGGAGCCTGTGCTTTTCACTGATTCTGACTGGGCTATTTTACAATTTTGTATGTTGTAGAAAATTGATGGTAATGCAAATGGATTGGTGTCCACAGAGATACAAGTAAATTTTGTTCTGCAATTGATTTCCACCTGGTGGAAGAGAGGATTCCAAAAGATTACATTTTGCTGCCCTGAGGATATTGGCCGATTTTGCATTTATTAACAAATTAATTCCAGCATCCTAGATTACCTATAAATGTGTTTGTTCTTTCAATTTTCTTTAAAAAGGTTTTGCTTTCTTGCTGGTTTGCTTGTTAATTAATGGATGAAATAAAATCTTTGACACATGTTCATTTTACATTTGTATGAGTCATGGTTTTACTTTTTAAAAATTATTTTTTAAAAAAAGAGATATAAGTGATGTTAAACTTTTTGAGAGGCTCTAAGTAAGTAAGAATGGCAGTGAACACACCACCATTTCATAACTTAGGCTGCCAAATGAATTTTCTAAGGAATACAAAAAACATTCAATGCACTGTATTACTTGTTATGAAAACATTTGATCGTGGAAGCAATTTAAGTATGCTGTCAGTAAAAAAATTAAAGTAAAAATGACCTGGATAAACCATAATTTGAATAGCTTTTGCACTAGTAATTAGAAAATAAGGGTAGGCCAAAAATATCACTCCAGCTGTTAAGTACAACTTCAATCTGTATAAACATGTATTTTTAAAAAACTATTAGGTAGTGAAATGAACTGATTTGAGTTTTTTCTCTTTTGCCTACTGCCATCTCGTGAAACAGGAAAATGAAGAAAAGATTTAAAATACAGAGAACAAATGCAGGAACATAGATAATTAACATAAATAAGAAAATTCCGAATAAGTAAGATATGCTTATAGCAGTCTAAATCAGATAGAAGCAGATAGAAGCAACCAAGAGTAAAGCTAGAATTGTGGATAAATTGGCAAGTAAAATGGGGGAAGTTATTTTACATCAAATGTCAAAAGTATTGGACTTCACAATCTTATCTTGACTTGACAAGTATTAGTGAATACAGACCACCTACCCAAACCATCCCAGATCACAGTGCTGGAAACAGCTATGTAGTTGCAGAGAAGTCTCAGTTCATGGTAGACACACACACACACACACACACACACACACACACACACACACACACACACACAGTCCAGTTCAGAAATTTTAAAGATGCAACAAACATTTGTGGAGAATTATCTGATATGAAACACTGTGATAGGACGTGGGGATACAATAATGGGGAAAAAGGCAGGAATTACATTTTAGGAGCTCACAATTCTCCTATGGAGGATGACAAGGACTTTACACAATACAAGGTTGTAAGTGCCATCCTTTCGGTAGGGGTCCCATGGATGGGCAGAAGAGTCATCCATCTTACAGATTTCAGTAGAAATTTGTGTGGCTGCTAGGAAACAATGGGAGTGTCACAGGCCCCGCCTACCTGAACCTTCAACCTTTCACCTTGTTCTCCTTTCTGAGATTCTCTCTCTCCATTTTTTTTTTTTTTGAGTTGGAGTCTTATTTTGTCACCCAGACTGGAGTGCAGTGTCACACTCACGGCCACTGAAGCCTCATCTTTTTTTTTTTGTTTTTTTGAGTTGGAGTCTCACTCTGTTGCCCAGACTGGAGTGCAGTGGCCGCTCCCGGTCACTGCAGCCTTGACCTGCTGGGCTCTGGCGATCCTTCCGCCTCAGCCTTCCGAGTAGCCGGAATTACAGGTGCACGCTACCACGCCCAGCTAATTTTTTGATTTTATCATAGAGATGAGGTCTTGCCTGCCCAGGCGGGTCTCGAACCCGTGGGCTCGGGCAATTCACTCACCTCAGCCTCCCAATGGCGCGGGATTACAGGCTGAGCCACCGAGCCTGGCTGAAGCCTCATCTTGCTGGCCTCAGGTGATCTCTCTGCTTCAGTCTTCCAAGTAGCCAGAACTACAGGCATCCGGCTAATTTTTTGATTTATGGTAGAGATGAGGTCTCACCACGTTGCCCAGGCTGGTCCCAAACCTATCAGCTCAGGCAATCCCCTCGCCTCAGCCTCCCAAAGTGCTGGTTTTACAGGCTTTAGCCACTGAGCCCAACCTTGCTCTCCTTTCTGACAACTCTTAAGCCATTCTCCTTTTGCCTTTTATCCTGTTCTCTCCACTAGAGTCTTCTCTCCCTACTTCTTAACTCAAACTGAATCCTTCAGAGGAGAATCTTCCAATACTTCCCACCCATAACTCCTTGCAACCCCAACTATCCACACCTCCTTTCCTTCCTCTCCCTCCTTTTCAGAAATAAATCCTTTCACCTGAGAACTAGTTTCCATGTCAACCTCCATAACCACTGATCTCCCTGAAGACTTTCCTCTGTTGATTATCTGCCTCCTACATCCATCCCTCTATTCCATTTGTGGGGTTTTTTGGGTTTTGTTTTTTTGTTTTTTTAATGTTTTGTAAAAAAAAATGTTTGAATATTCACCAACTTAAAAAAAAAACCCTCATACTTGTCTCTTTTCTCTGGTATTCCCAAGTAATAATCTATAAGCATGTCTTCACCTCCAATTCACTCCTTAAATCTCTGTCACATAGCTTTCCATCTCTACTTCTTTACTACAACAGCTTTTGCCCAAGTCACCAACAATCGTTGTGAAAAATCCAATACGTGTGGCTCACTTTCTGTCTTGACTTTTCTATGGTTCTTGAGTCAGTGGGCAGCTCCTTTCTTGCTCTTGTCTCTTGGCCTCCATGGTATCTCTTGATTATGAATTCTCTCCTGCTTTGTCCCCCAACCCCAGTTTGCTTTCTTTGTTGAAACCTGTTCCTTGACTCACACTAAATGTCTGTGTTCCAAGAGCTTCGTATTCAGTGCTGTCCCCCGCGCCCCACCACACACAGTAGTTTTCAACTCCCACGGTTTTATCCACCTGCACACTGTTTTTTCTTTCCTTTTTTTTTTTTTTTTTGGTCGGGG